CTGGGAAACTTTCCATCAGACTTGGTTCACCCAGCATGCTGTGCACAAACCCGGAGCCCAGATTTTCTGTTGTAGAAGTCTGTCATTCTTTCCGCCATTTTAGAAATTTTATTTTTATTGATTTCAGAGAGGAATGGAGAGGAAGGAAGAGAGAGAAAGAGAAAGGGAGAAACATCAGTGAGGAGAGGGAATCATTGATCGGCAACCTGGGCTTGTACCCTGATCGGGAATGGAACTGTGACCTCCTGGTTCATAGTTCTTTGCTCAACCACTGAGCCACACCGGCTGGAACTCTCCGAACTTTTCACAAACAGCTTCTCTTGTCAAACCTCAGTCCCTCAATCGCACCACGTGAGGAAAATAAGCAATTTCCAGGATACAAAGCCATTCAAGGATTCTTATCCTCCGAAGAGCCTTCATGCCACTTCTCTCACCCCGATGACCTATGAACCCAGCAGAGGGTGCGAGCTCTTAGGCAGCTGTGCTGGTTACCCCTCTCCTGATCCACATTATCATCCTGCGTCCACCCCTTAGCCCAGGGCGTTATGGAGGGCCTGTCGCCATGTGGTCCCTTGGCCAGCAGATGGCTGTGGTACCCATCATCTCCCTTCCGGGGAACACTGGCCCAGCCAGACTTTGCCTTGTGCTTACCCACCGCAGCTGTGTGGCTCCCAAGCACACAGCCCTCGTTAAGTCTGTCTAGCACCAAAGATCACTAGGAAAACTACAATTAGAACGTCGTTTACAGAAACGTCCAATTCTTTACAGAAGTTGTTGTTATGCCCTGTTGCTTAAATGCTTTTTGTTAATGTACATTTCTGTCAGCGTGGACCTGTGCCCTCTCTGTGTCTGAGCGCCGCCCCGTGTTTATGTGTCAAAGGCACAGGTCGCTGCCGGAAGCGGGTCCACCTTGGGGTGCAGCAGGCACACTGGGGGAGCCCCTCCCCTCCTCTCTGCCCTCAGCTCAGTGTCCTTCTCTGTAGCCTCTGTGTTGCCTTCTGTCAGCACTGCTGACAATGCATCTTCCTGCCCGGCCAGCGTGCCTCAGGAGGTCAGGGTTCGGTTCCCCCTCAGGCCACATGCCCGGGTTGCGGACTGGATCCTCAGTAGGAGGCAGCAGGTCAAGGATTCTCTCTCATCATCGATGCTTCTCTCTCCCCCCCTCTCCCTCTTCCTTCCTCTCTGCTATAATAAAAAATATTTTTTTTAAAATGGCAACTTCCTGAAATATACAGGCTGACAACAGTCATACATTTAAATTAAAAGACAGGTTTGAACGTTTTGCAGATCAAAACATTCTGGTCCCCAACTTTGTATTCCCGCCCCGTCACCAGGAGGCTGACCATGTTCAGCGAAGACAGTGGTGTTGGGGCTGAGAGGGCCGAGGGCAGTGCTCACTGGAGGCCTCCGCATGTGAGTGCTCCCTCCTCTTTTGGGCTGTCTGCACAGCCCCAGTCCTGGTCCTGCATTTTTCAAGTTAAAATGTTCCTCTTTGCAAAATACCTCTTTCCTTTGGGGAACTTGGAACCTATGATTATTTCCCCATGGGCCTCCCTGCTGGGCTCAGCACAGTCAGATGCACAGCCCAGCAGCCCACTGGAGCTGAAGACAGAGCAGAGTTAGCCTGCTGGCCCCGGGGGGGGGGGGGGGGGGGGGGGGGGAGGAGAGGGAGGGCTCCTGCCTGCTGGCCCGGGGAGGGGAGGGAGCGGGCTGCGCACAGAGCTGCTCCCGCCAGGAAGGGAGGCTTCGCTTCCATCATTGTGGTGCCGGGACCCCTGCCTGGGACACCTCCAGGGCCAGGCTTGCCTCTGGAGAAAGTGTTTTCTAAAAGGCACGGAGGTAAAAGTTTGAAGGACTGTTATTTCACTTTATTATCTTCTCAGTGAGACAGTTTCATTGTGTAGCCAGGAAATAAAGTCGGGCATGTATGACTTTGGGAAGAACTCCTCTGAAGTTGGTCAGGAACCCGCCTTCTCCTCTCATACATGTAAAGAACCTTCTGAGGGCTCATCTGTGACCCTGTCCACACGGCCTGGGGCTGGGGAAGCTGCCGCCCGGTTGGTTTCTCACGCCAGCAAGGTGTTGCCTTCCCTGCTTGGGCTTCGTGAGGCGCCAGCTGTGTTGATGAGAATCAGTGCCCCTGTTCCTCGCCTGACTTTGAACTGCCTGGTGTCTTTGGAGCTGATTGCTGATGGCGGGTTGCAGGTCGGCCAGCAGAGAGTTGAGGTTGACACGGAGCGTGCTCGTCCTTGCCTTTGCTCATAGAAAGTTCTTCCCATGGGGCGCTCTGCAGGGTTGGCCTGTTTACGTCCAGTTCCTTCCGGCGGCCTTGGTTCTTTTTCCGTCAGCACCACCTTATACGTCAGCCGCATTTTGGGATCCACACTCTGATCCAGAAGACCTGTGGGATCCGCTTCTCCCTCCCTCCCTCCCTCCCTCCCTCCCTCCCTCCCTTCCTCCCTCTTTCCCTCCCTCCTAAGAAATCTGAGTTGGGGGCTGCAGGAGAGCAGGCGGGTGAGCTGGGAACTCTGAAAAACGGAGGATGGCCCTCCGAGAGGGAGCTAGTGGCGTGGCCTCTCGCTGCCCTTAGTGACCTTCCTCCCGGACCCTTCCATCCCCAGTCGCTGAGGGGAAACCGGCGTCTCTGCTGACACACTTCAGGGAGGCGAGCATTTCTGCAGGATGTGCTTTGCCTGAGAGCAGAGGTTTGCTTTATTCAAAGATCACAGGCTTTCGTACAAAATAGAAGGAAACAATGATTCTTCTCTGGAGGGATGTCAACATTAGGAAGGAAAATAAGAAACAACCAAATGTTTAAAGAGAGGAAACAGCTTGACTTAAAGTATAATTAATGGGGGGAATCAACTGGTTTGCAAAAAAACTGCTCTTCGAGAGACTATTGTTTGGAGAAGTAGTTCAGCTTTGAACCCAAACGTGTTGCTGTTATTACTTACGTTGATGGGAATTTTATCTCTGCTTTGCACATGTGAGCCATGAAATCATGGTGCTAATTTCTGTTTCATTTAAATTGGCTAATCCACAAATAATACTTCAAAGATTTTATAAAATTCAGTAAGCAGTGTACATGTATATGAGTTATTTTCATATTTTTTTAAGCTAACATTTTTAATATATTGGGGAACTCATCAAAAAATAGTCACCACAAATCTGCCAAGAAATGGTAAATTAATTCTTGAAGTTGATATAATTATGTAACAATTTGATTTTATATTTTATCACCTCTTACTATTCAGTTGATGAAACTAATAAAATATAACAATGATTATTGTTTTTAAAGTGAAAAAGTGGGCAGTGTATTTATAGATTATGGCAGATGTATTTATCTGGTACCAAAAGATGTACAGACAGCTTATGTTCAATTATGATATAGGATGTGGACCCAAACACTCAGTACAATAAGGTAAGGCAAGAATTTGCCATTCTGCTGAACTACAGTTAGTATACCGCTTTTAAATTTTGTAGAAGTAATTTACCTATTTTTAATATATTTTTATTGATTTCAGGGAGAAAAGAGGAGATAGAAACAGAGAGAGATAGAAACATCAGTGGTGAGAGAGAATCATGGATCGGCTGCCTTCTGCACGCCCCCAACCTAGGCATATGCCCTGACCAGGAATCAAACCCTAACCTCCTGGTTCATAGGTTGACACTCCCTCAGCCACTGAGCCCCGCCGGCCGGGCTTGTAGAAGTAATTTAAACATTCACACCGTGTGACCATCCCAGTCTCTGTATTCGGTGAAAAGGACAATTGCCATGGCCACCAGGAGGAGTAGCCATTGAACCTCCACGTTCCAGTGCCAGCGCATGTCCAGAGCGCCTGTCAGGCCCGGGGATGTGGTGTTTGGGCTTTTAAAGGAGTGGAGTCGGAGAGGATCTGTAAATAAAAGGTCAGTACCGTCTGTGTAGAGACTGACGTTTAGGTCTCCGTATCAGCACTTCAGTGAAAGGCTTGGACAGGGTTTCCACACGTAAAATGTACTCATGTTGGCTTTTGAGGAGGCATAATGCGGCAAGCACATGTAGATTTAAGAAACCCTAGAGCCACAGTCAGACATGTGCTGTCTTGAGCTTGTGAATGATCGCAGATGATAACTGGGTGCATTTTCCATCGTCCGGGGCTTGGTGGTAGAGCCCTCTTTATTGTGATGAGCACATCTGCGAAGACAGCTTGATCCTCTCCAGTTTGGGTAAAGAACTGGCAGAAAAAGATCTGACTTCCGGAAGACTAGAGAATATTTGAATGTTCAACCTAGGATTGACCTGAGTCAGGGTGAACAGATAAGTGAAATGAAATCTAGCAGTGATGGATATGTTACTCTATAGATAAATTTAGGGAATCAAATAAGCAAACAAATAAAGAATCTTGAATGTTGATGTAATCCATATGGACTTGATAAAAAACACATTTTTGGATTTGTTCAGAATTCAGCGATGTTTTCTGTTACCTGACTGTTGAATCAACACAGCTCTCTAATTGTCACTTGTTTCTGAGCTATCATATGGCAGCTTGTTTGAGCAGGGCTTCCAGTTCTCTCTGTGGTTTACTTTTCTTCTTGGTGTTTCTTCTGTTCTTCCCATCACTATTTTGGCTGCTTCTGTTAACCTTTCACTTCTTTTTCTTTCTTTACATATATATATATTTTTTTTAATTGATTTTCCACAGAGAGGAAAGGAGAGGGATGGTGTTAGAAACATCGATCAGCTGCCTCCTACACACCCCCTACTAGGGGATGTACTGTAAACCAAGGTACATGCCCTTAACCGGAATCGAACCTGGGACCCTTTAGTCCACAGGCTCGGCACTCCATCCACTGAGCCAAACCGGTCAGGGCCTTTTCACTGTTTTTAACTCACAATTCCTTCTCATCTCATCGGCTGGAGTTGGCTGTCTTGTTCCAGTTGCCTGTGAGGTTATGATTCTTTCTCTTCTCAGCCAGCTCGGGAGAGCTTACCGTCCTCCCGGGAACTTGTTTTCCAGGGCTACGCGGAGAAGGAGAACGCCATCGCCAACGCGCTGGGGGACCTGAAGGCCAACTTCTACTGCGAGCTCTGCGACAAGCAGTACCACAAGCACCAGGAGTTCGACAACCACATCAACTCCTACGACCACGCGCACAAGCAGGTGAGGGGCGGAGGGGCCGCTGCTGGGCTCTCCTCTGACGATCTGAATCGTGTGGCCTCTGTGGACGGGATGTTTTCTATCTATCTATCACCTATCTATCTATCATCTATCTATCTATCTATCATCTATCTATCATCTATCTATCTATCATCTATCATCTATCTATTTATTTATTTAATATGTTTTATTGATTTTTTACAGAGAGGAAGGGAGAGATAGAAAGTCAGAAACATCGATGAGAGAGAAACATTGATCAGCTGCCTCCTGCACACCTCCCACTGGGGATGTGCCCACAACCAAGGTACATGCCCTTGACCAGAATTGAACCTGGGACCCCCCAGTCCGCAGGCTGACTCTAACCACTGAGCAAAACCGGTTAGGGCAGGACATTTTCTATTTTTTCCTTTGTTACAGGATGTTTAGAGACAGTCTGGGGTGATAATTTAATGACATAGTAAGACTTATAAAAAAGCACCAAATGTGCAGTCTGAAACAGACAGTTAATACAGAGACACCATTCAGTTGCCCTTGAGTGATTGGCAGTATTTTCAAAACTTATATTCGGCAGGTAGGGCTCAATTAAATATATTGAAATGTATAAATGTTTAAATATTTTAATCGGCTAATGATATTTATCAAATATAAGTTAATTTACTTCTAGTTCTTTATATAAAGCATTTACTATAAATCACGGAAAAAGAATGAGATGCTAAAAATAACCAGGGTGATTGGTTAAATAAGTGCTTAACATGTGCCCAATTTATTTTATTTACTTTTTTATTTTTTATTTTTAAAATTTCTTTATTGATTATGGTGTTATATATGTGTCCTTATTCCCCATGACCCCCTTTTCCCCTGTTGTCTGTGTCCACTGGTTAGGCTCATATGCATGCATACAAGTCCTTTGGGTGATCTCTCCCCCCTCCCCCCACCCTCCCCTACTTTCCTTCTGAGGTTTAGATCCAGAGACAGAGAAACATCGATCAGACCAGTAATTAAGTTTATTTTAATGTTGTTTTATTTCCCTATCAATTGTAAATCCAAGGTGGACTTCTTTCAACGCTCTGTTAGCACGAGTTCAAGGGCATGACGAGGTCAGCAGTTAAATTACTGATGCAGATTGCATTCTCCCGTCCCCTTTGCCTTTATCAGTGCCCCTATGCGGGCCAGTGCCTGGTGAGCTAGCATCTAGCAGCTCAATGATCACCTGCTAAGGATCTGTTCCTTTATTGCCATCATTCACCAGTGTCCCCCATGAATATCAGTTCAGTGTTGTTGAGCATAAGTAAGAAGAGGGGAGAAATGATCACCTCAGTGCTTATGGACCTGCTGTATATATTTTCTGTGGTTCCTTCCATTCTCTCATCTCCACCGCTGGCCAGGCAGGCCGTGCAGGGAAGGTTAGCTTCCTCCGTGGGCATTGCTGGCTGAGACGTGAAGGGTGGCCTGGCCTTCCTCCTCTGGTGGCAGCTCCGTGGCACACCAGCGGAGGGGAAAGTTTTGGTGGAAGTAACACTCTTTTGTCTTCCTTAAAAAGGCATGCACATGTCTACGTCATTGCTTGGTTTGAACATTAAGATGCATCAGGAAACAGTGCTGATCTCATTCTGCATCCCCTGGCGTTTGCTTTACGAAATGATTCTGGAATGCCATTCCCCATGAGCTGATACATCTGAGAAAATTGCTCCTCCTCCCAAAAACCTAAGACATATGATTACATGCATGTTTCACCGTGTAAACTGGGCACTTGGAAGTGTGTGTGCCTTGATGTGCGTGTTTGGAGAATACTTACTAACTCCTGCTGCCCTCCGCTCCAGTCAGCCGTGGGTGCTACAAGATCACAGGACCTTTCGGTTCAGTGTTCAGTGAGGTTGGGGGACTGTAGACTGTCCAGAGGGGAGCTGCGGCACCAGGCAGGATCTAGGCTACGATTCTGAAGCCCAGAGGCTCACTTTAAATTAAATAAAATGTATACGTTTTTATTGATTTCAGAGAGGAAGGGAGGGAGCGAAACCAATGATGAGAAAGAATTCACTCCTGCACGCCCCACACTGGGAATGGAGCCTACAACCCAGGCAGGTTCCTTGCCCAGAATAGAACTGTGACCTTCTGGTTCATAGGTCAGTGCTCACCACTTAGCAACACAGGCTGGGCCAGAGGTCACTTTGATAACGCCCAGGGGCCTTGGGCCCTGAGGGAGACACAGCATGTAAATCACCTGTGGTGGGGAGCAGAGGCGCCGTTCAGTAATTTAACAGGAGGGGACGCTGTGGAAGCTGGAAGCACTTCACACTGCACACTTAGCACTTCCGTTTGGAAGCTGTATAAGCGTGCGTTCGTATGTGTGTGTGAGTGCATTTGAGCTCCTGGGCTGCCCCATCATGAGCATCTGCTGTGGCAGGAGCTGTGTGTGTGTGTGTGTGTGTGTGTGTGTTGTTTTCTGCTGGTTTTAGGTGAACAGCTTTGGGGTGAGTGTGTGTGTGTGTGTGTGTGTGTGTGTGTGTGTGTGTTTCAGTATTATTTCTGCTGGTTTTAGGTGCACAGCTCCGGTGTGAGTGTGTGTGTGAGTGTGTGTGAGTGTGTGTATGTGTGAGTGTGAGTGTTTCAGTATTATTTCTACTGGTTTTAGGTGCACAGCTCCAGTGTGTGTGTGTGTGTGTGTGTGTGTGTGTGTGTGTGTGTTTCAGTATTATTTCTTCTGGTTTTAGGTGCACAGCTCCAGTGTGTGTGAGTGTGTGTGTGTTTCAGTATTATTTCTGCTGGTGTTAGGTGCACAGCTCTGGGACTAACAAGCATGTAGTTACACAGTGTTCCCCGCGATGTTCCCCGTGCCCAGCTGGCCGGTCCGCAGTCACCACGATATGAGAGACTGTGCCCCCGGCTGCCCCTCACATTCCTAAGCTCTTCAGTACCTGCCATCGGCACTTCTCCCTCCCTTCAACCCCATCACCACCCAGCCCACGCCTCCCTGGCGCGGCCATCCACTCTTCTCTCCATGTCTCTCAGCTCCGCCTTCCCAGGGGCCGGGTCTGCTTCACGAACCAGGGTTTGGACAGGTGACTTGCGTTGGCCTCCCTGGATCTGGGATTCAGGAACTCTGCATCAGCAAGTGTCACCACAGCTAGGGCCTGTGTGCTTGCCCAGGAAGAATCAACTTGTGTTTGATTTTCAGTTCCGCGTGTTCTAAGTGCAGCTGTCAGATAAAAAGATTGGGCAGAATTGCTCGGCCGATGTGGCTCAGTGGTTGAGCATTGACCTTGAATCGGGCACAGGCCTGGGTTGCAGGCTCGATCCCCAGGGTGCGGTGTGCAGGAGGCAGCCGATCAATGACTCTCTTTCATCATGGATGATTTGCTCTCTCTCTTCTTCTCCTTCCTCCTTCCTCTCTGAGATCAATAAAAATACATTTGTTTTTTTTTAAATTGTAACCTCAGAGTCTGGTGTGGCCCACAGCAGCCGTGTAAGTCTCCAGTTAGACTAGAGGCCAGGAAATGGGGTGGAGATAGCGAGGGTCATGAGGTGGCTCCTCATTGCCTTCTGATAACATACGCATTCACCACGGAAGTACATCCCTTCTGATGCCAGAATAATCCTTAAAGAAACATACCAGTAATGAAAAATGGAAAAATACTATCTAGTGGAAAATAAAAGTACAATTGTTCTGATTTACTTGACAGAAAGAAATATCACTGACATTTTGTGTATTCTAGCATTTTTTCTATACATACAGATACATTTGATGATAGATGGATGGATGTATTCGTGGCATTTCTTGCCATAGATGGTGATATAGCTGATGATGTAAAATTATTAGGATGCTATTTTTTTAATTACTATCATAATACAACAATATTTCTCATATTTTACAACTGTTAGCATTATCGGTCACAGCCACATCAGTATTTCCTTATGACACTGAATCATAATTCTTTTTTCTTTAAAATATATTTTATTGATTTTTTTACATAGAGGAAGGGAGATAAACAGAAACATCGATGAGAGAGAAACATCAATCAGCTGCTCCTGCACACCCCCTACTGGGGATGTACCTGCAACCAAGGTACATGCCCTTGACCAGAATCGAACCCAGGATCCTTCAGTCCGCAGGCCGACGCTCTACCACTGAGCCACACTCATCAGGGCCGAATCATAATTCTTAACTGTTCTTCATTTCCTGGCCACTCAGATGGTTTTTGTATTTTTTAAAAATACAAATGTCCATGTTCTTATCCTGGAGCTTGCATGGCTTCCCCTGTACTCCCAGAGGTCATACTGAGATTTCTGTGAGCAAATGTGTGAGGTCTTCCATCCCATGAGAAAGCCCATCACCGCCCTCCGGTGCCCATTCGATCCGAGGAGCATCCGGGGCCCTCACAACGCACAGGGCCTCTGACTCAGCACTCGGGAACAGAGACTGAGTGGCCGAGAAGTCCGTTCTAGACGATACAGACGGCAGATACGTTCCTGTCTGAACCGGCCTGAGATTGCTGTCCACAAAGAGAAGCTCGCGTTAATGGAATTTGAAGAAGGAGAGGCCTCGGGGAGAGACGGTGTTCGGGTCGGATATGCATTAACAGATTAGATTCCTTTAGAGCTGCCAGCAGAGGAGTCCGAAGGCTGCACGTCCGAGGCAGTAATGGGGAAAGAACCGCAGAAAGAGCCGTCCGCTGGTTCACTCAGCATAATAGCATTGATTAAATAATGGCTGGGAGGAAATTACTCAGTCAGTGTGATCCATCCACTCGCACACCTCAGCCTCCTCCGAAGGAATGCATTTGCTGACATTCTAAAGCACTCGCCGAATGCTGCCTTCCAAGAAGGCTAAATTGATTCGGGAAATAGAGTGGGTGATTGAGTTGTAATTCTTTGAGGATATTACTTCTCTGCAAGATAGAAAGCATACTTAGATTTTTTTTTCAAAGCCATTGAAAATAGTTCTTGATAGAAGCAACTCTTGGGAATTGGAGGGAAATTTTAAGCCTGTGAAAACAGTAATAGTGGGTAATATATTAACTTACTAAGAAGCATATAACTAGAAACAGAGGTATTGGAACCATTGAAAAGAATAATGAATTTACTTGGAGTAGGAAAAACACTTAACCAGGCCATTCTGATTGCTCTCAGCATGTTTTATTCAACACCGACTAAATCCACCCTAAAAGATGGCAATAGGAACACTGATCTAAAAATGTGAAATTAGTAGGAACTTAGGATTCATCAAAAGATTTCGAAGGGGGAGAAAGTGGTCTAAGACTAAGAAGTGAATCATCCGGTTTCACATCTCCTAAGTGGGTCTGTAAGTTAAGATTATAGTCAGTGCCAGGAAGGGGAAAATTCAAGTATAGCTGGCTTCAGAGTTCTGCTCTGACCGGTAGGTTGGCTTGCTGCTGGGGTCTGAATGATCAGGACTGGGTGTGATGGGCCAGACATGCCCTGGAGCCCTTCCTCAGTCCCTCCCCAGCCTCAGTCGTGCACCAGTGGGGTCTCTTGGCCTGGCCTGCACCCTCTCACAATATGGAACCTCTCAGGGATATCAGAGAGCCAGATTCAGCCCAATCCCCACAGGCCAGGCCAAGGGACCCACTGGTGCACAAATCTGTGCACCGTACCTCTAGTATGCTCATATACTTCTGGGAAGAGTTTTAAATGATGTAAAGTTATAAACATCATTGTGGAAAACCCAAAAAAGTGCACTTGTGTGTAGGAACTCTGTTTGTAGGAACCACCTACCTTTTTGTATAAATAGATGTACAAAACATAGGCATGAGAATGTTTGTGAAATTCTGGTTTGCAGTTGTAAAGCAATGTACTTTACCTAGAAGTTTAAGCACAAACTAATGAGTTATCGAAATGAGTCAGTGCCCCTTTCCCTGTCCCTCTCTCCCTCTTCTTACATGGATTAGACCTTTGCCAGGTAAACTACAGGCAGGGTCATCGTCTTTCCCAACAATCCAACTCCGTGGACTTCCTGAGACCGTGTGTGAGATGGATGACCTCTGCTGCCCTCTGGCATCTAACGCAGCGGTTCTCAACCCTCCCCATGCCGCGACCTTTAATTCAGCTCCTCATGGTGTGGTGACCCCAACCGTAAAATTACTTTCGTTGCTACTTCATAATTGTAACTTTGCTACTATTAATGAATTGTAATGTAAATATCTGTGTTTTCCGATGGTCTTAGGCTCTACAGCAGCAGTTCTCAACCTGTAGGTCACGTAAGACCATCGGAAAACACAGATATTTACATTACAATTCATTGACCGAAACAAAGTTACAGTGATGAAGTAGCAACGAAAACAGTTTTATGGTTGAGGGGGCACCACACCATGAGGAGCTGTATTAAAGGGTCACTACATGAGGAAGGCCGAGAACCACTGCTCCAGATGATCAGTAGACAGAAGTCAGCGGGAAAGTGGAGTGGGCCTTCTGAGATGGCATCATGACCAGAGGATATTGATCCTTTAGGTTTTTCCTTTCTCTACATGCATATCTATTGGATGATATGCCAGTGTACATTATAATGTAATTTGTGGTACAGTAGCTAGACCACATCCTCCTCCTAACTCCTTTCAATGTCTAATTTTCTAATTCCTGCTGACTGCCATTCTGACTTGACATTTATCACTACGGATTTCTTCTGAGGGATTCTCAGTAAATGGTTGCGGAAGCTTTAGAAATAGCACTGACATTTCCACGAAGCCTCACAGCCATTATCTTGTATATTTATTTGTGTCTTACTTAAGTTTTCTTTCTGTTTGGCGCACTCTAAAGAACTTACACAGTTTCTACTATTTACTTTCCAAAATTACTCTCCCAGATATAAAATATGATGTAGGACTTCATTTTTTGCTGCAGAAAATAATACAAGAAAGGATACAAAGATGGATAAATGCTAGCCTAAAACTAACCAACGTGTTTGAACAGGCCTAAAAGCTCAGTTGCTGGTTATTCCCTAAATACGAGGCAAGCTGCTTCACTTTATCAGGAAGGCTGTCGCTGAGGTGAGGGAATTGTGTGTACAGAGAGGAAGACTGAGATCAACAGAAATATTTTAAAATAATTTTTAAATAATTATACACATCTTATAGAAACCTCATCAATTAAATCTTAAAGTTTACTTGAAGCTTAAGCTATGATAGATACTATGCAGGTGGGATTAAGCAAATACAACTCAGGATTCCCAGGAGTCTAATATTATTTCATCCGTATTACTTTAATTTTTGAGGAAGGAAAATTCTTAATTTAAAGGATCTAAAAGGATTCACATATAAATCAACAAATACTTATTAAGCCATCATTTTATACACCAAGCAATGTCCTAAGGCTTGGCACACATCAGTGTATATGTGTAAGGTATTTATTAAAACTTTGTTCCATCACTTCCGAATGTGATGAGTATATGTTTAATTCTCTTAGAGCCTTTCTCTATGGCTCACAGTTGGATAATGATGTGAGCTTCATGAGGAGATACGGTACCTTAATCGTTTTTAGTAACAATACAAGCGACTGGGAAAGACTAGTGCAATATTTGGGACATGGATCAGTCGGTGTCTCTTAAATATGGCCACATGTTGTTTATCGATTCTGTTCCAGTGGGCACACCCTTTTCTAGCCTTAAACCCCCAAAATGAACCCGTTAATACAAATGAGAAATACACCTAGTGTCAAAAGAGTTTACACAAAACACTACTCATTGTATTCTCATGTCTAGAAGTATTTAGGAAATATACCTAATATTGGAGAGGAGGGATGTTTTAATGCCCTTAGCAAAGGCCATTTATCTTATGGACTGATGTAAGGCATTTACTCTTCTTAGGACATACGAAGACTACCAGATGCCTATGTTACATGTAACAGGTGCAGGAGCTGATTTTGTGTGGAAATCAGGGGTTGGCAGGATTCCCACCGCGTGCCTGAGTCAGGCAGAGAGACCTTGGCAGGAAACAGTCAAGGAGCAGCAATGCAAGTGAAACATCCAGTTTCTGTAAAAACCGCTGTTTGACATGTTAGCCCTGCTATTTGACTCCTGTAACTGCTCGCTTGTTTAAATAATAAGGAAAATAAGAGGACTCCCACTTCAGAGAGGCCATTAAACCTTCCCCGGGCAAAGTTGTCAGTGCTGGCACCAGGCCAGGCCTCTGGTTGAGGTCTCAAGCCCCAGCACATGGGGCTCTTTAAGAACTGCAGAGGGGACTGGAACACCCCATATTTGGGAGACAAAGAAGGTAAAAACATATAAATAGGGAAAGTTCCTCCATGTTGGGGCCCAGAATTTGAGAGACATTTTCCTTTGGACCCACTGGTAATAATAATAATTATTATAGCTTCATCTCTCTAAGCGTTGTTGGATTCTTCACCGGTTTTCTGTAACACAAGTTTTCAATTCCTCTCTCTGTGGCTTAGGTAGATCTTTCCATATGAGGTAATAATATGCTTTGGCATTTTCTCAAGCCCAAAGGGTGAGGAAATATGTTTGAAGTGGGTTGTCTAAAAGGTTATGTTTTCCTTAAACGAGGTTAAACAGCCCCTTGAGCATTGCGTAGACCCACCCTGTTCCTCTTCCCCTGCTTCTCCCACAGAGGCTCAAAGAACTGAAGCAAAGGGAGTTTGCGCGGAACGTGGCCTCGAAATGCAGGAAGGATGAGCGGAAGCAGGCGAAGGCCCTGCAGCGCCTGCACAGGCTGGCCGAGCTGAGGAAGGAGGCCGCGCGGTGAGTGAGTGTGCGGGAGGGTGGCCTCTCCTTCAATGGAAGGACAAAGAAAGGAAGGAAACAGACGTGAAGGAGACATGTCTTATTCTGTATCAGAATAAGACACGTTTCCGTGGTTCCCTCGGCTCAATGACCAGGTACTTCTCATACGTGTGGGACGTCCCAGCACAGGGAAAGAAAGGCTTTTTTTTTTGTTGTTTTTTTTTTGCCCAGCCAGTGTGGCTCAGTGGTTGAGCGTTGACCTAGGAGCCAGGAGGTCTCGGTTCCATTCCTGGTCAGGGCACATTCCAGGCTGCAGGTTCGATCCCCAGTGGGGGGCGTGCAGGAGGCAGCTGATCAATGACTATCTCTCATCATGGATGTTCCTCTCCCTCTCCTCCTCTCCCTTCCTCTCTAAAAATCAATAAAAATATATGATGGAGGGTTTTTCTTTAATTCCCTTCCTAATCTCCATACAATATTATGTTAAATATTTGTGAGTGAAAAGTAATTTTATTTTAGAAAATAGTGCCACTGAAGAGATGACATGGGTACACAGTCCTAGTCCAGAGCACTGGCTGAGAGGAGGGGGCCACCCCGCCTTTGCGGTAAACAGCTGTACAGCCTCCTCCCGCCCCCCCCCCCCAGGTCCCCACACAGTGACCCTGCAGCAGCTGCACCCCAGCTGCCACCTGACCCCGGGGCGGCCCTTCCTCCGGAGCCTCGGGGCGCTGGGAATGTCGCAGAGACATTGTCTCCCAGGGGAATGTGCTGGAGCTCTTCCCGCAGGCGCCCCACCTCATGCCGTCCCGTCTGCTCCTCTTTGCAGAGCTCCGGGAAGCGGTCCCATGTTCAAGTCCACGACGGTGACCGTGGGAGACACCGGCCAGGGCGTCTCGAAGGAGGTGGCTGTGGATCCAGCGCTTCGCCCGGAGGATGCCAGGTGTCCTGTGATGCCCGGGGAGGAGCCTGCGCCCGAGGGCACGGCCAGGGCTGCGGACCCCGAAAGGGCGCCTCCTTACGACAGGACCCCTCCGCGGGGGGAGCAGGCCCCGGGCGCCCACGGGCCCAGAACCGGCTTCTCCTTCGCGTTCCCCAAGAAGGCGTCCGTGCGGCTGGAGTGCTCGGCCGCGGCCTTCTCCGAGGGCAGCGGGGACGCCGCCCTGGCCCGGGGGCTGGGCAGGAGGAGCCGGTTCGTCCCGGGGCCTGGTCAGCCTCAGCCGCCTTCCCCCAGAGAGGAGCTCCGGGGCCCCGAGGGGAAGGCTCACTCTCTGTGTCCCGAGGGGACGTGCACCTGCAGGGACACGGCTCCCGCGCAGGAGCCGGGAGGAGCCGCTGGAGGAGCCGCGGCGTCACTGCCTTCCTCCGGCCAGCCTCGGCCCCCTGCGTCTCCGGAGGCGGATCCGTCTCCCCCGGAAGAGGCTGCTGGGAGGGAAGACACGTCGGAGAGGGGCGCCCGCTCCGAGGCGCCGGGATGTTGGGGCGCAGCTCTCGGCGGGGCCAGCCCAGCGGAACGGGCGAAGGACGATGAAGCCCCCGCCGTCGACGCTGAGACGGAACCCCGTGGCCCGGAGAGCCCGGCCCCGGCCCCCTCCGAAGAGGGCGCTGTGACCTCACGGCGAGCCCCGGCTTCCCGCCGAAGGCCCTGCCAGCCGTTCGTCCCCGTGCTCAACAAGGCCGGCTCCGCCGTGCTGCAGTGGCCGTCGGAAATGCTGGTCTACACGGCGGCCCGGCCACCCGTGTCCTACAGCTGCAACCCTCTCTGCTTCGACTTCAAGTCCACGCAGGTCAGCCGCCGCCTGCAGAAAAGCAGGCCGCCCCTCCATGGCCTTTGTCCCCAGCAGAAGGGGGCCGACACCTGCAGGAGGCAGGAGTGGGGGGTCCAGGGCAGCCCCTCGGGTGACGGCGGAGGGGGCAGCAGACAGGACTCCGCCCCCGTCACCCCTCTTCCGGCTGCAGAGCCCCCCTCCGGTAGTTGTGATTCTGGAGAAAAGGAGGACGTAGATCAGAGGCGGAAACATCGTTCCTGCAGGAGCCGAAAAGCGAGGCGGTGCCATGTTATCCAAAAGCAAATGAAACGGAACGCTCTCGAGGAAGGCCCCGGGACCAGGCTGACAGGCGCGCGGGAGCACCGGTCCCGGAAGAGCCGGAGGAAGAAGCGGCGGAGGAGGGTCTGTCACCGCCGCCGAGGGGAGAGCGCCCAGGAGCCGGCAGCGCCCTGCAGGACGGAGCCGGAGAAGGGCTGCGCCGGCCCAAGGAAAGGCCCGGAAACGGGCTCCGAGCAGCGGGATGCCGCTGGACAGCCGCCGCTGGGCGCACGCCCCCCGCCTGCCCGGGAGCCCGCCCCGGCGTGTGTGCTCTGGGCTGAAAACACGGAAACAGAAGCGTGTAAAGCGAGGAGTGCCGAAGGCCATCGCAGTGACATCAGCTCTCAAAACCCCCGCGCAGGGAGCCCTTCCGGGCCCTCAGTGGCGCCCCCTGGGACCCGTGGTGGGACTCCCTCCGGCACGCCCTGCGGCTGCGGGGCCGCGGCGCCCCGCGGTGGTCAGGGTCGCGGGCACGTCCTTCTTCCGAAGGGCACGGGCTGCGTGCCCCCGAGCCAGGCCGTCAAGCGGGGCTACCAGTCTCTGGTCAGCGAGTCCGAAAGGTGTCACCGCAAACGGAGACCGCGCTCCTCCTCGGACGACGGTCGGAGCCCGCCGTGTGCTCTCCCGGGAGGACTGGGGGCCCCGCCCCGCGCGCCTGGGCGCTTCCCGCCCAGGAGGAGGCGGAGGAGGAAAAAAGGCCGGGAGCTCCGGGAGCGGGCAGGCCGCCGCGGGAGAGCAGCTGCCCCCACGGGCCCCCCGGGCGGGTCCATAAACACAGACAGCAGGGAGGGACCAAGCCCCCAAGACGGGGCAAACGTGGACAGGACCTCGGAGCAATCAGACCCGGTAAAACCCACACCCACACTGACTCCCCGCCCCAGCAGCCCCCTGCCTTCTGGCAGTGACAGGGGAGCTGAGCCTGGGGTCACCGTGGCCGCCTCCAGCTCAGGGCCCGGGGTTCCCAACGAGCCCCCCTGTGTCCGCGCAGAGGAAGCGATGGCCGGCAGCCGGCGGGGGGGCCAGGACAGAGGCCAGACTGTGCTTAGCAGGGAAAAGCAGGTGCCTCCCAAGGTGCCCCCTAGGGACCAGACCTTCCAGCAGCCCCCACCCACATCACTCCTGGGCCACCAGGAGCCGGCCGAGGCCCTACCCCCGGGGAAGGCAGCCACGGCCGAGGCCTCCCCCGCGTGGCTGCATCTCCCTGCAGGGATCCTCCACGCTCACCCCCCGCTGCCCTTCAAAGAGGCACAGGCCAGCGGCCACACCGTGGTCACCGCGGAGCAGATCCTGGCCCCGCTGCCTCTGCCCGAGCAGGCCTTGCTGATCCCCATGGACGCCCCGGACAAATGCAAAGCTCTGCCCTGTGAGGTCTACCAGCACCTCCTCCCGCCGGGCCTGCTGGCCCACAAGGTCAAGCTCGCCTTCCCCGCCGCCACCCTGGCCCCGCCCGGCCTGCCCCTGCAGCCTCTGCCCCTGCAGCAGCCCCTACGCTCTACCTCTGTCACCACCATCCACCACACCGTCCTGCACCACCAGACGGGGGCCCTCAAAGTGCTCCAGCCGCACCAGAGGTTCCTGTCCCAGGCCCCCCCTCTGGCCGGGACATCCTTACCTCAGACTTCCCTCTCCAGGGGACCCCTGGGCGCCAGGCTCTGTGCTGGGAGCCCGCCCACGTTAGTCCCGCCTCCTCCGATGCCCATCATTCCAGCCTCGGTCCTTCATCCCAGCCCCTTGGCCTTCTCCCCGCTGCCCCACGCCCTCTTCCCCTCCCTGCTGGCCCCCCACCCTGCAGTCATCCCGCTGCAGCCCCTCTTCTAGGGAGAGAAAGCCCTCAGAGGGAGAGGAAGCAGTGAAAATGGTGGCTGTGTGCACGGGTGCTCACCCATGGAGGGGTGATTGCCCTTTGAGAGTGGGAGGAGCCAGCCACACTGTGCTTTTCCGACAGGATCACCCTTACTGTAAGTCCAAGGATGCACATGGATTTCTAGTTTCCGATATAGAACATTAGTACCAAGGCACTGAGCCGTTTCAAAATCAACACAATATATGCTGTATACTAAGTCGATGTCTTAAGAGTGTGTATACTGTACATAACATATTTATAGGACTGTAATGTATGTTGTAAAATACGCTCTCTCTCTTTAATCTTTGTGGATTTGCACCTCCTTAATGTTTAGACAGAGCTGCTGGCACTATGTTTTGTACACCACGTTCCTTGAAACTGTACATGCGGTGAAAAAATATATCTTGCAATAAAATTTTTGTTAAAATATTTAAGTAAAACAAACGTTTGTTTCTAGTTGGTTCTACCGTGTAGGGAACGTACAGTGACAGTTGGTTTCAGGCGTACACAGTATCTTCTCTCCGTAGACATCTCTGATCATCGGAGTTCCGCAAAGTAGCTCTGGATTTATATCAGTTCTTCAACTTCAACACCTTCTTTGTAGCAGATCCACCCTCTTTTCTGTTTGTGCTAACGCTGTTATACTCAATTTTCTAAATTTCCTGAACAACTGGTTCTCCAGACAACAAACCATGGAAATTCATGCGAAGACAATGTTGTGTCTGGAGATGGAGTTAACCTATGCAAAGTACATAGTATTCTTCCAGGAACTGTCAAACTAGTAGACAATAAATTCCTAGAACATTTTTGTATGTTAAAATTCTCAAATTCACTCTATTTATTTTCCACCATTGCAGGGAACATACCGATATAAGGGTTTTAGGATGGCTTAAGGAATGGCGTTAATTCAGAAGTCACTCTCCATTCTGTAACATCTGGGGAGGAATGACCTCCACACGGTCTGTATCGAGCTAGACCCTTCATTGGGGATCTGAGGGCAGGAAGGAGCGTCAATAAACAGTGTTTCCTTCTGCAAGGCTTGCTGGTGGTCGTGTGTGTCCTCTCTCAAATCTCTGGAACAGTCTCGAAGTCTTCCCACCGCCCTTCCAGATTCGCTGTGTTTCTCGTGACCCCTGCACTGGGTCATTGAGGGCTCTGTGTGCCCCCAGGATGGCCATTACTTAATAGGGACCACCACCCTCTTGCCCAGACTTTCTCCACGTGCACCTGCCCCCTCCTGGGCCCTCGGGGAGACCGAGTCGCCTGCCTGGTAGCGTGAATCTGCCTCTCCATGTGTGTAGTCTCACAGTTACCTCTCTCAAGGTTGCTCTTTCTTGCCGTTTCATTATTATTCTACCAAATAGGTTGAGTTTGCATTCCCATTGCCCCCCTCCGTGCCCACTGTCCTGAAGGCCACATCTCCCATTCTTTCTTCTCCTTCCCCCCCTGCTGGCTGCCCGCTGAGCCCGTCGGGAGGGCAGTGGCCATGGAGATGCTGGCCACAAACCATTTACCTCTCAGAGGACCTTGGACCAGTGGTCAGCAAACTGTAGCTCGTGAGCCACATGTGGCTCTTTGGCCCTTGAGTGTGGCTCTTCCACAAAACACCACGGCCTGGGCGAGTCTATGCTGAAGAAGGGGTGTTAGAAGAGGTTTCAGTTTAAAAAGTGTGGCTCCCCACAGAAATGTCAATCGTTGTGCTGTTGATGTTTGGCTTTGTGGACTAAGGAGTTGGCGCACCACTGCATTAGACCAAGGCCGAGGCTCGCTGCTGCCATCCGCTGAGGCTCACAGTCTTGCTTGGAGGCGGGGTGACAGCTCCTCCATGCCGTGGGGTGTTGAGCAGCTCGGGATCTCGCTCCACCTTCCCACCTGCGGTGTGCCCCCCGCCCAGCCTGGCTGCCTGCTAGGAGACAGGGCGCGGTCTCCTGCACACCCAGCCGTCATTGCCACCGGCTGAATGCCAGGCCGGGCCCGGTTACCAATCAGAGCATCTTACAGATGAGCACCTGCCTGCCTCCACCCTTGGGGACACGCGCTGTGGGGTCTACGTGAGCCTGGTAGAAAATGGGGAGTTTTTCAATCATTTAAATCTTACTTTTAATAACAACCACATTCTTTTTATTCATTGACATCTTTGTAGTAATATTTTGGTTATACCGTGTTTCCCCGAAAATAAGACATCCTCCGAAAATAAGACCTACTTACAGGTTTCCTTCTAAGTGAAATATAAGGCATCCCCCCTCCCCCGAAAATAAGGACCCCCCTAAGCTCTGTCTCAGAAACTTTGTGAAACCTAAACTACAAGAAGTTGTGACTTGGGTGAAGCATTCATGGGAGAAAATCACTGACAGTAGCACTGCAAATGCACTGTGAGCAGGCTACCTTGACAAGAAGTACTCATTTAAAGACAGTGCTATAGCTAAACATGAGAGATTTGGTCCACTGATTCTGAAAGAAATGGAGTCACAGGAAATTCACCAGGAAATTCAGGAATTGGATTGTTATGATGATGTTCCAGAAGATGATGACATGATTGTCATTGAATAAATGAGTAAATTCTTGATACTGTAGAGTTCACAGTTTGTCTGGTTTGTGTTGACAACTACCGTACTACCGTACCGTATACAGGTAATAAATTGCCTTTATTTTCATTTAACAATAAATGTGCACCGTATTCTTCTTGATGGAAAAATAAGACATCCCCTGAAAATAAGACCTAGCGCATCTTTGGGAGCAAAACTTAATATAAGACACTGTCTTATTTTGGGGGAAATAGGGTATGTGTATATGGATTGTGCTAATATTTTTATTTACAATTCTGAGTTAACTGCTGCATTTTAATATTTTATTAAGTTGTTAGAGTGCCTCCTAACATTTTTATGGAATCTACTTTCTCTATATATTCATTGTCTTCACTCTACTCAGAATATTATATTATACTAGTAGCTCGCTGCTAATGGCCTCAGCTGGCCACCCCGCCCACCGCCTTTCATAGCTCTCCACCCAGCCCCTGAGCCCTCCATAGCCCTCCAGCTCATGGGTCCTTACGCATCACAGGTTGATGACCATTTGCATATGGCCTCTTTATTATATAGGATATTTTAGATTTTTTTAAAAAATAAATCTCATTTCAGTTGAATTATTCATACATGTTTAGTGTTGTTTTCTTCCATATCACATTTGTATTGATTATGTCTATTTTAATTCCTTAATTTTATTTTACTCTTTTGTATATTTATGAATAATATAGGCAGGAAGCATAAGACCTTTGGGGTGTGCTCACCTGCTAAAGAAAGGAGTTTTTACAACAGAACTTCTCCAAGTTGGTTCTTCAGTTCCTGTCACCAAGAACGGTGCCCAGAGCTAATTCCCATCAGGCCCCTCGAGAGCCAGGACTCAGTGGGTGAGAAGCAGGTTCTGCTGCTCACAGATGGGACAGCCCAGGTCTCTGCCTCACTGGCCTCACTCCCACCATGCACAGGCTCCTGGGTCCCCCCACCATCTCTTCCAGTGGGAGATAAGGCTCAGATGCCCTCAGAGCCACCGTCCACAAGACACTGTGCTCTGGAAATGGCCTGTGGTCACCCTTTGTGCTGCCCGATGGACTCAGGCTATTCTTACTGCCCAGCTAGTGATCGCTCCCTAACTGCCCTCCTCTGTATGCCTGATCGCCACCTCTAACTGCCCTCCCCTGCATGCCTGATTTGCCTGATTACCTCCCCCAACTGCCATCCCCTGCCTGCCTGATTGCTCTCCTAACTGACCTCCCCTGTCTTTCCGATCGTCCCCCTAACTGCCCCCCCTAACTTGCCCTCCTCTGCCTGATCACCCTCCTAACTGCCCTCCTAACTGCCCTCCCCTGCCTGCCTGATTGCCCCCCCCTAACTGCCCTCCCAGGCTTGCCAGATTGCCCTCCCAACTGCTCCCTAACTGCCCTTCCCTGCCTGCCTGATCGCCCCCCCAACTGCCCTCCCCTGCCTGCCTGATCGCCCCCCCCAACTGCCCTCCTCTGCCTGACTGTTCACCCCTCCTAACTGCCCTCCCCCACCTGCCTGATCATCCCCCCACCAACTGCCCTTCCCCTGCCTGCCTGATAGTCCCCCTAACTGCCCCCCAACTGCCTGATGGACCCCCTAACTGCCCCCCAACTGCCTGATCATCCCCCTAACTGCCCCCCTAACTACCCTCCCCCGCCTGCCTGATCGCCCCCCTAACTGCCCCCAACTGCCTGATCGCCCCCCCTAACTACTCCCCTAACTTGCCCTTTGCTGCCTGCCTGATCGTCCCCTTAACTGCCCCCCTAACTGCCCTCCCCCGCCTGCCTGATTGCCCCCCCAACTGCCCTTCCCTTGCCTGCCTGATCGCCCCCCTAACTGCCCTCCCCCGCCTGCCTGATTGCCCCACCAACTGCCGCCCTCCCTGCCTGCCTGATCGCCCCCCAACTGTCCTCCCCTGCCTGCCTGATCGCCCCTCTAACTGCCCCCCAACTGCCTGATCGTCCCCCTAACTGTCCCCCAACTGCCTGATCATCCCCCTAACTGCCCCCCTAACTGCCCTCCCCCGCCTGCCTGATTGCCCCCCCAATTGCCCTTCCCTTGCCTGCCTGATTGCCCCCCCAAACTGCCCTTCCCTTGCCTGCCTGATTGCTCCCCCAACTGCCCTCCCCTGCCTGCCTGATCGCCCCCCGCAACTGCCCTCCCCTGCCCTTCCCTGCCTGCTTGATTGCCCCCCTAACTGCCCTCCTAACTGCCCTTCCCTTGCCTGCCTGATCGCTCCCCTATCTGCCCTCTCCTGCCTGCCTGATCACTACCCAAACTACCCTCCCCTGCCTGCCTGATTGCCCCCCTAACTGCCCCCCTAACTGCTCTCCCCTGCCTGCCTGATCAGCCCCCCTAACTGCCCTCCCCTGCCTGCCTGATTGCCCCCCCAACTGTCCTTCCCTTGCCTGCCTGATTGCCCCCCTAACTGCCTT